GTGCATGGACGCGGATGGTAAACTCGCGCGTATGATCTTCTCCCGGACGAACACGCGGACGCGTACGCGCACGAACCGATGGACCGAGACACTCGCACGGATACTCGCGCATACATGACCTCGAACCGAACATGCACACGTACGGCATCGAACATGAACTCGGAATAAAATCCGAACCATTTGCTAATCTCGTGATTAAATTAAATTAATCACTTAATTACGTTTAATTATCAAATTAAACATAATGCTAAATTACCAAAATTATTTCGAACGTAAACGGTACGTCGAAAATAATTCCGGTAATTTTGACTGAAATAACTGAAATTAATAACTCCGAAAAAATAATGTCGGAACTGAAATATTATTATACTGATAAAAGTCGGGATATTACAATAGCCTCAATCTTTCGTGGATCAACCGTCACGCCCTCGTGGGATATAAAATGCCCTAGATACTCAACCATCTTCTGCCCGAATGAACACTTGGATGGCTTGATGTGAAATGAGTTGGCCTCCAAGATTTCGAGCACCACTCTCAAATGCTCAAGACGTTCAACCCACGACTTTGAATAAATCAGGATATCATCGAAGAATACCAGGACGAACTTACGCAGATACTCCTTGAAGATGGAATTCATAGCAAACTGGAAAGTGGATGGAGCGTTGCATAGTCCGAATGGCATAACCAAATACTCATAGTGTCCCTGGTGCGTACGAAATGTTGTCTTCAGAATGTCGGCCGTGTGGAGTCAAATCTGATGATAAGCAGCTCTTAGGTCGAGCTTTGAGAAGTAACATGATCCAGCTAACTCATCGAGCATGTCGTCGACACTAGGGATAGGAAATTGGTCCTTGATAGTTGCGGCATTCAGAGCTCGATAGTCAGTACAGAACCTCCACATGTCGTCCTTCTTTTTGGCTAGCAGTACTGGAGAAGAAAACGGACTCTTGCTATGCTAGATTAGTCCTGACTCCAGAATCTCGGCCACCTGACGTTCGATCTCAGTTTTCTAAAAGTGAGCGTACCTATAAGGGTGGACATGTATGGCATGTTGCTCGTTGATCAGCGGTATGCGATGATCAAACTCTCGGTGTGGTGGTAATCCTTTGGGCTCGCCCAGTACTCTCTCAAACTCTTCGAGAAGATTGCGCACATCTCCTTGCTGCTGCTCGTCCTGATCTGCGTGCGCTTTGGTGTTCTCGACTACTACGGCAAAGATTTGGCCGACACCTCGCCAAACTCTTTCGATGCTCTTAAGCTCTACTTCCTTGGTGCCTTTTTCATTACAAGTACTCAGAATGACTTGTTGACCCCCAGCGTTGAACTCCATAACTCATGTTCGACAATCGGTGGTCACCCTGCCTAACCCCTCGAGCCACTGTACTCCCAGAACAACATCCGGTCCAACCAGGGGTAAGACATAAAGGTTAGCCTTCACAGTAACCCCGTTGAACTTGATTGGCACCTTCCGAAATGATTCAGTACATTGAAGCTTTTCACCGTTGGCTACTCAAACTTCAAAGGGCTCGATCTTTGTGGTTAGCAACTTCAGCTTTTGAGATAAGTCAGCATTAATGAAATTATGTGACGACCCGTTGTCTACGAGCACTACTACTCTTCGATCCTTGACCCACGCTGGCAGCCGCATCGTCCTTGGCCCTCTGATTCCAGCCATTGCATGCATCGAGATCTCAGGTTCTTCATTGAATGCTTCCAAGTTATTCTCTGGATTCGGTTCTTCCTCGATTTTATCTTCCTCGTCGTCGGGAATGGCTACTTCAATCACAAAAGCTTGTTTACACTGGTGACCTGGCGTAAACTTTTCTTCACATTTGAAGCACAGACCTTTCTCGCGTCGACGTTTAACTTCCTTGGGAGACAGCCTCCTTACTATCGACCCTGCCGGCCGATTGCTGACATTCAGTTGTGTGCTGGCCGTTGCCTGGCTTGGTCCGGCGCGTCACGTGTCTGTTAATCGCACATCCGCCCGTCCCCTTCGCGTGGCGACTAGATGGTCTTCTCGTCGACGGGCTACCTCCATGGCTTTATGCATCGTGTCTGGCCGCTCCAGTCGAACTTCTGCGGCTAGATAATCTCAGCCCACCTATGAAGGCTCCTACGAGTGCATCCTCAAACCAATCTCACACTCGGCAGGCCAGTCGCTCAAACTCCTTGATGTATTAACGCAAATTGCCTGTCTGTCGTATCCGTGCGAGGGCCTCATTATAGTTATGGTAATCGGACGTACCAAAACATGTGAGCAATTCTCTCTCAAAGTCAGCCCATGTAATGATCTGTTGCCGCCGACGGTAGATCCTTGAGAGCCATTTCCACTATACATTGGCCTCACCATCTAGGTAGAATGCTGCGTACCTTACTCGATCGTGGCCTTCGATTTCATTCAGTTCGAAATATTGCGCAATACGGTTGAGCCAAGCCTCCGGATCACTGCCCGTGAAGATGGACATTACGAACCTCGGTTTGTCGGGCTTCGGTCGTTCTTGGTAGGTGGACGCCTGCGACCGCTAGTCGAATTCCTCTTCATGCTCGTAACCCTCGCGACGCCGGCCCTCGTCATGTTTGCGTCGATCCTCGCGCGGTGGTGATGGTGTGCGATCGGCGTGCTTGGCGTGTCGGCGCGGTTCGCGCCTTGGGGGATCGTCGCGGTGGTGGGGTTGCTGCTGGAACGCGCGCAAGACTTCCTCTAATCGCTGTTCGAGTCGTGTGACAACGGCGTTGGTGTTGTTTTGACTTTCGTCAAGCGATCCATAACCTCGCTCATACTTCGCATTTGGATGTCAAGGTTGTCGATCTTATCCTTCATCTCTTTGTTGGCCATGGCTTTTCTTTCCTCTTTTCGCTCTTTGCTTTGTGGACTCGTGGTTGAAGATGATGATGATGATGATCAACGATCAATATATATATATATATATATATATATATATATATATATATATTTTATATAAGAGGGGGGGACGAAAAATAGGAAAAGAAAAAGAAAGGGAAAGGGGTAGAAGAAAAAACAAACGATCAACACCTCTCAATGAAAGCACCAATGATGAGGATCGTGTGTTTCGACTGCCGATAAGCCGCTAACCCGCGCCTTGAATCGCTGATAGTGTTTCTCTAGCCACAATCGCGCATATTGAAAAGAATAAAATTGCAGTAGTATTTTGGTGAAAAGACTAAAGCAAAGTTGGAAGAACAAAGTTCTAGATTTCTATTGATTTCTTGTATGATGAAAAATAACATGGGGGATGGTCCTTTATATAGGCACAAAATAGATCTAATCCTAATATAACTATAACTCTAAGAAAGCAATAAAATATTAAGTGTCCTAACTAATCTAGATATTATAATGCTAGATGGAAACTAAATAACTAGGGATATTGAACTTGTCTTGCACTCCAAGTAACCCTTCTCTCTCATTATCTCCCTTCGGCCGCCTCTCGCACCACCCGCACGCCTTCGCCCTAGTCCTCAAGGACTAGGGTCGCCGACTTTGCTAGCGCATGCTCGTGCGCCTGGTTTGCCGCGCACGCCTGCGCGTTATTGCCGTTCTCGCGCGCGTCCCCACACGCCCGTCCGCATTCCTTGAGGACTGCGGTTTCGTGCCCCGCGCGTCCTCCTCCCTCATGCGTGTCGTGCGCGCCTTCGACCCCAGCTGCTCTCTCACGCGCGTGCCATCCTGCCTAGCCGCATGCCTCGAGGCATAAGGCCTCGCGGACGCGTGCCTCGTCCGCGCACGACCTTTTCGCGCGCTCGCTCATCCGGCCCGTACTGTGCGCGTCGTTACCAACCGCCTGCGTGCATCCGCCCGTGCTTTTCACTCGCACACCCGTGCACTGGCCATTATCATTCGCCCTGCGTGCACTATGCTCGAGTGCGTGCGTTTCCGCGTTTCCCCGTGCTAACCTCTTGTGCGCATGGTAAGCGCGACTCGCAGCATTCTTGAGCTGCCTAGCCACTTCCGCATCATTCCCGTCCCCTTCAAGTGAATCCTTGTCCTCAAGGATGAAGTTCGGGAATTTATCGTGCATCTCATCAAGATCTTCCCATGTGGCTTCTTCGGGTGGTAATTCTTCCCAGTCGACTAATATTTCCCAAGGATAGCGCCCTGCTTTCCTTACCTTGCGATACTCAATCGCACGTTTTAGGCGCAAAATGACCCTACCATCGGTTGCGGTTGCTGGCAATTCTTCACAATACTTCTGTGCTTCTCCTAAACTCCTTTTGAGCTGTGACACATGGATAACGGGGTGGATCTGAGAACTTTCTAATAATTCTAGACGATAAGCTACCTGACCAATGCGATTCAGAATTTGATAAGGTCCATAATAGCGAACGCCCAACTTAGTTGCTGCCCTTTGTGCTGTTGTGCGTTGTCCGAATGGTCTTAGCTTCAGATAGACATACTCCCCTGGTACAAAATTCTTTTCACGCCTCTTTCCATCTGCGAAGTCTTTGGTTCGATTAATCGATCCTTCGAGATTTTTCTTCAACTCTCTCAACATTAGATCTCGTTCCTCGAGTTCCCGACCAACTTCATCATTGACCGTACTTCCCTCCGAATAGTTGATCATTGTGAGGGGTTTACGCCTGTATACCAGCTCAAATGGCGTCATTTTGGTCGATTCATGGTAGGTAGTGTTGTACCAATACTCAGCCCAAGTCAAAAAGTTTTCCCACCTCTTCGGGAATTGATGGACGTAGCACCTTAAGTACTGCTCAAGGGTTCGGTTGGTTACCTCGGTTTGTCCGTCTGTCTGTGGGTGGTAGGCTGAGCTCATAGATAGTTTGGTCCCTTGCAATTTGAAGAATTCAGACCAATAGCTGCTCATAGAAATCCGGTCTCGGTCATAGACTATAGATCGTGGAGCTCCATGTAGTTTCATCATGTACTCTACAAATAACCTGGCAATCGACTTGGCTGTGTAAGGATGAGTGATGGGTATGAAGTGAGCATACTTTGTGAGTCGATCTACCACGACCATAACTCCATGGAACCCATTAAAACTCGGTAACCCTTCTATGAAGTCCATGGTAATGTCCTCCCATATTGCCTCGGGTACCGGTAGAGGTTGTAACAGCCCGCTCGGCCGTCGTGAGTCAGAATTAGTGCGCTGACAATCGTCGCACCGTGCTATGTAATCTCGGACGGTATTCTGCTGCCCTGGCCAGAAGAAAGTATTGACTATTCTCATCCATGTGCGATAGATACCCGATTGGCCTTCAATTTTAGAATCGTGGAAGTGTTGCATGATCTGCTCACGTAACTGCCTACTGTCGGGAACGAATACTCGGCCTCGGTGTAGAAGTAGACCATTGTGCAACTCATAGTCGATAGCAGTTGTCTTACCTGCTTCTATTGACTGGCGCAACTCCTGGCAATAGGTGTCCTCCTCTTGCGCCTTCCTGACTTCCTCCCAAATAGTCCAAGTCGGCCCAGTGATAGCATTAAGCTCGGCTACATCCGTCAGTCGGGATAACGCATCAGCTACTGCATTCTGTCGACCGGGTCAATAGACTATCTCAAAATCAAACCCCATTAGTTTGGAAACGAACTTCTGCTGCTCGGGTGTAACAATCCTTTGCTCGAGTAGATGCTTGAGTGGCTGCTGATCGGTCACAATCCGAAAGCGTCGGCCCAGTAGATAAGGCCTCCAGCACCTTACAGCCT